ATGAGGAAAAAACAGAAACTAAAACAAATTTTGGGTCATGTAAAAAAAACACTCCCTGATTTTCTAAAAATAATACACAGACGAAACGAAGGAAAAACGTAAAACATATTGGATCTTGAGAGAAACTCCCTCGACGTTTTTATCGCAAAAATTACAGAGGTAAGAGAGTGCATTTTAAATTGCTTTGGCAAGTGCATACACGGCAAAATGCTAATTTCAGCTTTATTTGAAGAGTTCCCTTTAACTGCTTCAAAACTGACGCAAGGCTTTTAATCTTTTAGGCTGCCACGAAAAATCAGTAAAAAATATCTGCAAAATATACCTTAAGGCCAGGAAAGTAAAATTTTGTTTTCTCTTGTGTATATGCCATAATTATACAGTCTAAACTAAATAGGATATACTTATCAGTTCATGGTCATTTTGAAAGATAACTTTGAGACTGAAATTTTTATACGTGTTAAAATGCGCTTGCCATTCAGGGAAAACGAAACACTGCTCGCCGTCTTCTATGCCACGCGTGAAAGTAAAATTACCTGGTGTAAAAACTCACCTAAGTGTGGATAACTTGAATTGTATCGTGCGAAGGATTGGTAAAGCAAAACTTTAAAAAGGGTAATAATAAAAATGAGCAAGCTGTTGAACGAAGACATGCTGCCAACTTTTTCTCTTCTTTCTCTGCAGAATGAATAGGATATGAAACGTCCCTTTAGTGCTTTGGATTGATTAATGGCTTAACAAAATGTTGAAACGAATGCAATTTTTGGTTACACACAGAGACAGTCTTTATTGCATTTCGCCATGATTAGTAATGCAAATGAGGAAGCTTCTGTATGACATTTATATCAAAAATGTAAAAATAATTTGGATTACACGCTCTTAGACTTCCGCCGCCAAAATTGTCTACACAAATTATAGGACTTGGCTAGAATTAAAGATCGCGTGCAAACTACACTTGTTCATGCCTGTCTAAAGGAGGGAAAAATGATCAAACTCAAGTTTAAGCATAATCATTCTGAATGTAATCAATAGAGCATCTTAGACCAAAATAAATGGTACAGTTTATTGAACATAGGATTTAGTTCTGTCTCTATAAAACAGTAACAAATATGTTCTAATACAAAAATAAAACAAAAAGATATTACGGCCGGAAGGGTGCATCAATAGGAGATATTACTGTCGTGTGGCATTTGAGATGATTTGCTCTGCAAAATTTTGCTGGATCACGTTTTGATAAGCAAAGCTGAATTTACGACAAGGTTCACTTTGGCTGTAATATTTTTTATTAGAGATTAGAATATAAAGGTAAAGCAAGCTAGGGTCTAGTTTCTTTTCACATCTCGTTGTTAAGCTTTGTTACTGACACAAGAACCTACACTTAGGATGTCAGCAATGATACTTCACAGTTTAATTGCTTCACTGTTGGTGGTCTGTCTGGTTGAGCTTTTTTTTAATTCACTGAAAAACGTTCAGTACTTCTTTGCTATTTTTATATACATGGGTCATGAGAAAAATGTTTTAAAACCGAACCATCCTATCAATTTAATACGACAAGATTATGATCTGAAGTAAAAAGAAGCCTTACCAGCAAGATCTTCTTATCCAAGATTGGAAACGCGCTGTGAGTTGATTTCCACTGAACGCACAGCCAGCAGCAATTTTGTATGCTGACTAACAATATCACCGATCAAACCGTTGGAAATATACCAACCTACATTTGTCAAATTATAAAGTTGATTCCGGATGGTCCAAACAGAACCCCAAAACGTCAAAAACGATTTCACTGACTTGATATTTTCTGCTGAGCAAACTGATGGAATATCAAGCTGATTCTAATTCTACAAGCATTTCTTATCTTCTTTCAGGGACTTGTGGTGTCAAAGTTGTCATTTTCCTCGATAATTTCAGTTTTTGTTTTTAAAATAAAACTGAATGAAAACTTGAATTCGCAGCTGCTCTCTCATCACAGCAATTATAAGTCACACATTTGAACTTTAAGTCACGCCTTTACGTTATTACACGGTACACTAAAAGGATTTATTATATACTAAAAATACGAGTTGAAACGCTTTGATTATCCTATTCCTGTTCACAATGGGTCTCTTTAGGGAAAAAATGAATATTATAAGAACATAAACATGTTTTATCGACGTTCTCAAAAATTATTTAAACCCCATGCCAACAACTACCTGCAGTGTCCAAACGACTTATTGACAGATGATTAAATTGAATGAATACTGATTAAAATGAATCAATAACAACGGAGCGGCTAAAATCATCATCTAAAGTTTACGTGAAAACATCCTGCCTTACTATTAATACATCAAATTGCCTCCAACAGTTCATATATATACACCTATTTCAATTAAGGTTGCTTCAGATAAGAATGATGCACGATCCATGTTTCATAGCACGCGGTGCATTATTGTAGCAAGTCTAGTAAATTATGTGCCCGCAACGATCCTAGAAACCTAGAAAGCAAACGCTGCTGACGCTTCTTTGCTGTGTCAGCAGAACGTTAAGAAAATGTACTTCAAAACACGAAATCCTAGGCTTTTTAATTTAAGACAGTGGTTTGAGGTTGCAAATTTTCAACGAGTTTGCTTGGCTCGTGCACGTGGGGATTTTGGATGGAGTTATCAAATTCAAGGCGTTTGTTGAACAACAATAAATAACTTAACATTACGTATTCATCTATTTTTGAGGCAACTTTTTTAAAACTGAATAAAAAAAAGAATAGCGTTGATTTGCTTTATTGAAATAACCAGCATTCTGGCCCATGCAAAAAAGTAGCTTCATCTGGCGGTAAAACCCCTGTTGTTAAAAGAAGAGGATTCTAATTTTTTTACTATGAGATGTTAAAAATGAAATTTTTCAGCTCGCTCATGGTTAAAAATTTTAGAAGCCATTTGACTTAAAAGCTCTCTTGGACGCTTTTTCACAAATGGTCTCCATTATTTCAATGAATGTCAACAAGACTAAACTTCCCGCTACAAAAGGGTTTGCCATAGTGCACTGCAGGCTATGAAACATGGTTCACGGGAGCAACCTTAATTGAATTAGGTGTATGTAAGCAACCGGAAGCGTTTGGTTCAGTGTAATTTGTATACTTATTAAGACTGCGATTGGCCAAATAATGATCACGTGACTATCTTCGAGTTCACTTTTTCTGTTACTTAAAAAAAATATAAAATTGGCATTCTGGCAAAAAGATTGTATTCGAACCTTTCAGCCTTGGGCCTTTTCCGAATTGCCCTATCGACAGAGGACATTTTCTACATACGCTGCGAACTTCGGATTAAAAACGATTTAATACTTATATTTTAATTACCAAAGGATTTATCAGTGAAAATTAAATGGAAAACTTGTTTGTTAGTATTACTAACCTTGATTAGGATTGCTAATATGCTTTCCTCTAGGTGACTAAGTTTACATACTCCTTCATGGCATAGTTCGAGGGATCTCGGTCAGAGCAGAGACTTGTGTTACTCATAGTCTGGTAGGGCCGAATGAAATCACTTGTATGAAATTGAAGAAGAACAAAGGTTCTCTCCCGTTTACTTGGCAACAGCCGGTCCGTATTGGTGGTAAAAATCTCGTTTGCTTGTCAAACAACATGACTTGGGTTGCAATTGTAGTTGGTTCAGTGTAATCAGTGTAAGGGTGTTGTCAACACTTTCAATTAAATTTGCACTACCTTCCACATTTAAAATGGAAGTTTTCTACGGTGCAAACACAGGTGAAAAAACAGGCTTCAAAGCCAATCAACTGTATATCCTCTCTTTGTTTTGGATTTCAGGTGATGTGAAATAACATGCTAGAGCAATTGAAAGTGTTGTTACACAAGAAAGCATTTCGTATCTTACTAAAGAATTGGATGGCCCACACCTGTCCAAACAAGCGTCGAAGAGGAAATATACTATCCTTAATTCAATTTGCATTCAAATGAATCCATATGACTGCAAGAAATTCACATTTAGAATGCGTTTTTTTTTTGCGTGCTAATTGTTGCATTTATTCATTTCGTCTGTTTCTTTAAATTGGTTTTTATTTTCTTTCTAGCCAGACATTGGTAAATGGACGTCAGAACTGCCGAGAGTGGTCCTCTTTCAAACCAAATGTAAACTTTTGAGAGGCGATTTTTAAAACCCTTTCACCACCAAACTATTTTTCCCTGGATGATTGGTTCCTCGCTGAATATATATCATACTCAAGTGTTTAAAGGTTATGTTACTGATGACGTCAAATCTCAACACCATAAAACCAAATTTTGCTAAAAATTCGTTCAATAAATAAATAAGTAAATAAACGAGGAACAGCTTTTGGCTCAAATTGCGATGAAAAAAAAACGGAAAAAAACTCTGACCGTGGGGGGCAGGGGGCTGTAACATCACCCCCTCTCTTCGAAGGTTGAGGGTGGTTGCAACTAAATTGATCGCTCTAGCTGTTCATTGATTGATACCAGTGATACGGGGTCTTCTATTATGACTCAAGATACAATCTGGAAAGTTAAATGATTTAGCGTATGACCCATCTAAAATGGAGCCACATTGTCTCTAGCTTTAGATAACCCTTCTTATAACTGTCCTATTCGGGCTCTTTCTTTAACGGGGGATAACAAAATTCTGCTGTTACATGCGGATAGTTGGAAAATATTCATGATTTGTTAACTACACGTCACTGTCCACGTGATGGTAAACACAGATTTCCAGAGATCCTCTTTTGACTGCCCTCAACACAAACTTTCTTCCTAATAAAGCTTTGAAATACTGTTTTGTGTATTGTTATGAAAAATTGCTTCCCAAATGCCCGAAAAAGGAAAGTGGCATTCACAATTGTTACAGACAACTTCATGTCGAAAGTAAAGTGATAAAAAGTCTTGTCTCAGTCAAGTACGTGTCATGTGAAGTTTATCAAATAATAAATCTACAGAATTATGCTCGCTTAGTTCAGAAATTACATTGCGAAGGCCAACCCAAGTAACAACTTTTTCTTCCAGAGAAATGAGGCTAACTGTGAAAAGGAACTCTCAGGCTAACAGGCTAAGTGCACTCTTCAAAGGCAGAAGAACATCTGCAACTGACAAACAAGCAACGGATGATGATGCGGAAAGAACTCCGGATACGTTCAGTATCCAGAAACAATCTACTTGTTTCACAAGCGAAGAATTGAGCCTTTTTCATAATTCAAAGAGAGTAAAGGAGACAGAGTATCTCACTGTTCTTAATCGTATTCTACAAGAACAAATAATCAACACGACAGAAGTTTACACCATCGCTGGAAAGATGATAAGGGTTGAGGTGCTTGAAGACACCGAACTATAGTATCCCAGTCTACTACTCACTGGATAAAAAAATTGTCTTTTTCTGCCGAACTACAACTTAAGGAAAATGGAAACAATAACGATATGTCGGCCAGACTTGAAATAGGTCAGTTTTTGCCCGTCTCTTTTGAATTCAGACGACAAGCGTGGAGGTCACGTAATGCATTTCATCAAATGTGCATTGTCCTCAATAGGATTGAAAGGAAGTCACTCAAGAATTAACTTCCCTCAAGCCTTCTGAATGCGGACAGCGGTGACGGAGAAGTGAACTAACTCACTTTAGTACATGTTGCTTCAGAAATTTTCTAGAAAAAAGGCCATTTGTTATACGCTTACAGGAGGTTCGAATGTAATTAAATTAGAAATAATTATTTAATAACATGCATGTTACAGTTACTTAAAGAGTATACTTTTTATACTGTATTCATGTTTTAGCCCAAAAAGTGCACTGAGCCTCGCAGTATTGTATTGCAACGGCTTACCATGTTCATTATCATGCCGTTTCTCGTAACTATAGCAACCGTACCAAAATCTGTCGAGTGAAGACAAAAACCAAAGTAAACAGCCTGTGAGCAAGCTCGCATATTCGGGCGAGCGAAGAACGCGAGAACGAGAACGAGAACGAGAGAAGAACGCGAGAACGCGCGAGCGGGGGGCTTCGCCGCTCGCTCGCGCGTTCTCGCGAGACTAGCTTCGCTCGCCGAAATAGGGGAGCTTGCTCGCAGGCTAATCAAAGTACAGTACAGGAAGAGTTACCAGTATGTACAGAATAGTCTTAAATAAATTCAGGCATCTACCCGTCCGGAAGCCAAAAAGAAACTTTTTTAGGGTGACGGGGGGTTACAGATTTTCCTTCTATTTTGGCTAAGATTGTAGGTTTGTTTTAGGAGCACCATGCTTCCTCGATCTTGACAACGACAAGTAGAATTCCAACAGAGTTCTCGCCACACCACTTATCGCCATCGAGGGGAGCAGTTATTTGGTGGTTCATCCTCTATTCGCGGTTACAGTTCATACAAGTATCGACTTGGGAGGTCTAGGGTTAGGGTTAGATGTGTTAGTACTTTAGCTTGTGTGCAACAGACGTCTCGTATTTTATTTCTTTCACGTGAAGCAAAGGAAATAGCAGACACATTTGTATACAAACTACAGGCTATCATTTACAGACAAAAAAAAAGCTGTTGCATTCACCAAGTATATTAAAAAATCAAGAGCAATGTCTCATTGTGGTGGCAGGTGTACACATAACATCATAAGAACAAGGGATCGAGGTTTTTAAATTCGTTTCTCGAGATTGGACGTTGAAACAATAGACAATGAGTTGAGCGCGCAATCTCTCCATTTGGGGAGTCGCGAGAAGTCACGCGAGAGCCGCACCCGAAAGGAGACGCGACTCGCGGCTCGCTTCGCTCGCCACTCAAAATGGAGCGCTTGCATTTTACACACTCGGGGGTGCACGCGAGCAGCGCTCAATGTCACTCGTTGAGTTGAGCATGACTCATCACTGGCAATTCAGACCCCAAGCGTTGACCCTGATTCATTTCGTTTCGCATACAGAATTAAATTTCGAACTTTTTTACAACTAACATGATGGAAAAAAAGTTGCTGCATCCACAGATGTGGACAGCTCCTCGCCAACTTTAACATTCATGTGGTCGTCGTTTAAGACGGTTGATAGTGAAATAGACCTTTTCACGGTTTATGACGCGATCTTGGCTGGCGGACAAAACACGGAAAAAATTACAGTGAATGTATGGGATTTTGGCCCACTTAAAAAACCGCTATAACGCCGTTACAAAGAGGCGGATTTCCAACATTTGCCACTACCTTAAATAGTTTTATTGATATCATTCATTCAACAGAAAATAAGGCTATTAAAGAAGGTACGACATCTGTAAATTCGAATTATAAATCTTCTCATATGGCTTCTAATTTCATGGTAATTTGCATAATGTTGATTCGAAGGGTTTGTATGAAATTTTAGAAATTCGTTTACGGTTGTCATAACCTGAATCTTTCCTTTATACTTCATGAAAATAATCTCAACACAAATGTTTTTTAAAATACATTTTCGCTGTGGAAATCCGACTCTTTGCAGCGGCGTTATAGCGGTTCCAAGTGGGCCAAAATCCCATACATTCACGGTAATTTTAGCCGTGTTTGCCCCCCAGCCAAGATGGCGTCATAAACCGTGAAAAGATCTATTACCCTGTTAAGCATCACGTATTAATTTAGGCCAAATAAGGGAGCAACCCCGCTCCCAACCGATCCGCGTTATAGGGAGAGATGCAAAGTAGGGAGCGGGGCAATTCTGAAGGCCTTGAACGAACAGATAACAATTGAGGAATTTGAAGACCTCTTGTACTGAATAACTGCAAAACAACTAATTTCTTGAAGTAATGTATCTTGGTATGGACTATTTCTCCTAACCTTCATACAGGCTTTTTGTCTGGTGCGTGATTGCGTGAGGTCGGCTCTAAGCGTTGACAGGACGCGACCTGTGCCTAATTTCCTTGCGCCGGAGGTACTCCCTATAACGACCTATACGGGATCGGAAGATTCCCCCCCCCCGAAAGAGGTACTTTTTTCAAGTTTTCAAGGTACAGTATAGGAAAGGGTAAAGATTACACTAGTTGAAGTATATAAAAGCGTAGGGAAATCTGTCATTTCGGTCTGTAAAATGGCCCAAAAGAACTAACAGAAGCATTTTATGGCTGTGAAAAAGTCGACACAACTTCCTAGTTTTGGGATTTATTCACTTTCTGACAGTGCATTGGAAGCAGTTGGAAGGGATAATAAGTTCTAAACTACAGTAGGTATGTAAAAGGGGTACTATTTGTCAAGGAAGGTATACTCAAGGGATAGCTTTCTGTCAAAAATGGTATTTGAAAGGGTAACGGGTTGGACCTCGGGGCGGAGCCTCCCCGTATTAAACTTTGTTGAGTACCTCCACCCCCCTCCTCCCCCCTGCCCCTCGCTTGTCCCAAACGAGAAGTGGTGCGAAATTGCGCGGGAGAGATTAACATTGAAAATGTTGACAGCAAGAATTAACCTGTATTTACTCCCACTAGGAGAAAATCCCCACCAGCATTTGTCAGCTTATAATTAATGGCACTAGGATACAGTAAATATGGCACAAAAGTAGGCGACAGGTTATGATGAAAAGTTTGTTGATTAAACCTAAAATTGTAGTGTTTATTTGTTGAAAATAAACACAGCCTAGACCTCCACTGAATATAGATATACTGATAACAGATTGCCAAGTCAGTCAGTCTAGAGAATTCTTAATTGTTTAGGCTTTAGCGTTATCTGCATTGCCATTAAAGCCAGTTGAGTACTCTGTTTATATATAGCACCGGAAAAATGCCAAACAGTATCAAGTTAGCAGGAAGGAACAAAAACCGATGAAATGCCATCAAAGAGGGAGAAAACCAGAAGGGCACAAAGATATGCTCAGACGATATCCGCTGATTAAACGATCAGCATCCTGACTTTTCATTGTTGACATAAGGATTCATTTACTTGAATATTAATGTGAGAAACATTTAGTTAAACGTAGCAGTCATCACACTAAAATACAACGAGTCTTTAAAAGATACTTCTTCAAAAGACGACGCTTTATACAGAAAGGAAAAGCTTGCCTGGATATCATTTCAAGAATTGTTGTTGTCGAGCTTAAGTTCGAACTGAAAATGTGGAAATCATCCGGACGCCGCACCGCAGCTTTCCCCTTCGCTAAACGTGAAGTTCACGAAAATGATCAAAGTTCCCGCACAGCTACGCAAGAAACATCGTTTGTTCGGAGAAATAAACCAAGTCCGTGTCACTTATCTCCAGTGGATGACAACAGATTGAAATGCAAGTTCGAAGCCATTGATGTTCTGTTGCAGATTCTACTGCATCAAGATGAACTGACTCTTAAAGAGTACACCATCAATGATAGAAGAATAAAAGTCCTTGTTATTGAAGACACTGAGTTCTAATAGTAGCGCGATTCGATTCCATCAGATGCTATGTCTTTCTATTGAGCAAAATAGCGGAATTCACTGAAAAGTTTTACTTGGCGAGATGTAGACTCGTTAGATGCCGAAGTTAGGCCCTGAACAGCAGTTATATCTTATGGCCGCGTTTACCTATTTAGAGCAGAACTACCTACTGAAAATCCACCCGTCACCATGACTAAGCAGAGATTATATACTTTTGCGTGTGCATCCGCTCTACCAACTGGTTTGATGTTGCTGCACTAGGATTTTCCGCAAAGTATGTGCAGTTCTTGAGTCGACGTCGCATAACACTACATACTTTCTTCCATTTCAATTCGACGGTGCACACGTTAACTTCGCCGGTTCTCCTTCATGGACTTCATGGATCATGCTTACGTGTCTTTTTTTGTTTGAGTGATGTTGCCACACGATAGACTACCATTTAATCTATTGGAAACTGAGAAATTTAATAAAGCGAACGGCCGGCAGTAGGCTCCTCTGACCTCACGCTTCGTTGGAGATTAACTGCAACGAACTTATTGTCTGCTCTAAACCTGTCTTGCATTCTTTTCCTGAACACACGCAGTATCTATGATTTTATTTTCTTAATTTGCTAAAGGAATGGTGTTTCTTAGTGGTCCTATAAATAGCAGGCGAACTGTAAATTTAGAAAGCGTTTACAACCAATTCCATCTTTTATAGTGATGATTTTTATTTTTTTTAAAACTCATATGGCTCGAGTCAAAAAAAAATGATTAAAGATACAAAGCATAGTTTCTACTTACGGTCACTATACTACAATTCTTGTGTAATCGTGGCTGTTATATTTCGAGCCACCTGGCAACTTTTTTAAAAAAAGCGAAGTATCATACACCAAATAGGAAACGTTTCATTGTTTGTAGATGGGACAATCGACTGTGTTTGTTGTTGCTGTTGATTTTTTTTAGTATCACTTGGCAAAAAAGAACTCGATCACCCGCTGGCCGCTGTTCGGGAAATGAGCCTAAGCTTCCCCCCACCACTCCTCTTCTCGGGAAGCAGAAAGACGGAATCTGAGAAAGCGGGGGTGGGGGGAGGGGAATCGAACCTAGCCCAGAAAGTGTAAAAAATATTAAGTGAATTTTCCTCCCTCTAAAGTCAAAATGGCAGAAATGAAGTTAAAACGGCGTGATTTATGTCGGTAAGGAGGCGTCACAGTGACACTCCTTAATCTATGCACCCATCTTTCACTGGCAATTAAAGACATACCTTTGATCTCAGTATTTACTCCCAAATCCTAACAAAAAGGACGATTGATGATTCAATTTTTTATGGGTAACTCTTAACAAATGCAAAGTTAACGTAACAGCCTTCAATGGACAAGCTGAAGCGAAGTAAAGCCGTAACAGGGTAGCGGATATTAAATGAAGAATAAAAAATAACGGCATTATAGCTCTCCAATCTCTTGTCCCTCATACTCACGTACAAACCTGGGCATCACCAAGATGGCCGTTTGAAAATTCTAAATAGCCGGATTGTGACGTCATTTGTCTTCAGATTACTTTCCGTTCAAGCATCATTTGGCACTTAGAAATATGAGCTCTACTTATAATTTACACCAAATGTTTAAGCAAAAACAACTATTAAAATGTCACATCCTTGTCAGGTAAACTGGCGAAAATGTTTCTTTCAATAGTAAGGCCCAGGTATCAATGAGGCATGGCGATAGCGCAGGGGCACCCAACGTCAATTTTCGGAAAATATCTGTTCGGAAGACGATTTGAAATCTAGAATTTTCGGAACACTTGTTGTGAAATTTCTTGCTTGCCTACCTCTCCTAGGATTTTCGAACATCTAAAAAGTAGCGGCAACAAGATATTGGATTTTAATCACTATGAAAAATGTCGTATTAAAAACAAACAAATAGAGAGAAAATGCATAACTCATGAAAATATTCAGCAATATACTTCTTGGAAAAAACACAATGAAGCATGCAAATTATGATTATCTTCGGGTAAAACTGAGTGCTCAAGTTTTTAAGTTACTCTCTAAGCTAAGACTCAAGACTTTTCAGTACTAACAAGGAATATGAAAGAAGACAGGAAAAAATACAGAGAAAACTTCAGTGCTTATTCCCGCTTGTCACCTTAGCTTTTATTGTAAAATTAATTTTCAATAAAAAGCTTTTTTACTGAAATTACTGAATGAATTTATCATCAAATCCTTCTACCTGATGTTTCTACGAAATGCCTCAGCTTTCATTATTTGAACAGGCTTAACAGCTAAAATAATCTCAATTGACAATAGTTGAGAATTTGATAAATTAAACTCTTTATAGAATACATAAAAGCATAGTTTTTACTTTAATTATTTCATGTCAGTTCAGGGTGTGGTTTCGCTATTTGCATAATTACATAATAAGTCCTACTACCGCATACGTCGGTGACATGTTGCCTGCGAATCCTCAAAATGTTTCATCCACATTTTTGGCTTAGAAAATTTCTCAAAACTTATTTAATATTTACTTTTTCCATGCCCCAAGTCATTTGAGACATACATGTTAAAGTAAATGGTACTGAATCTTAAAAATCCAACACGAATCACCGATTGTATATCATTTAACAAAAAACGAATGGAGTTTTGTTATGTCTACATAGAGGATTAAAGACGAGCAAATATTTTCTTAGCAAATATCAGTGGGCAAAACCTTGTTCTGCGACCCACGAAAAATGTTCTCGGACTATTACAAAATACATAGTCTAAGAAAATAGAAGTTCAACGATTTGAAGACCATTAACCAAAAGTGGCACTGAAAAACATAGGGTATCCGAAACTGTTCCACTAACTTCATTTGGTAGTCAATGAGCCCTATTGGTGCTAATACGCCACAAAATTGTAATCATTTCAAAATTCTGTATCTTCGACTACGTGAACCTTGAATGTATTTCCATTGACTGTGTATTCTTTAACTGATTGTACTTCTTGAAGTTGCAATATTTGTACCAACACATTTGCCATTTGTCTTCTGTGTGAGCGTTGTTCATAATCGTAGTATAACTTTTCCAGTTGGCTAAACCTTGAACTTTGAAGTAATTTGTGAAAGTCATCTTGTTTATCGTGCGACCTGCAAGCAGTTCCAATAATTCTTGAAAGTCCAAAACATCCCCGTGTCATGTTTTCTGGCGAGGCTTTCAGCCTTGGTGGATGAGAAGCGTTCTTTCCTTCGAGTTTATCGAGCTCCATACAATGCAAGGAGAATCGTAATTCAATCACGTAGACGGACGCATTCTAACGCAGCTTTTCCCAGACTAAGGTGCAAACATTTCGTACTTTCCAGAAGCTTAATGAGGTCCTTAACTTTAATTAAGGAAGTGACGTTAAAGCTTTTACACGATCAACGTCCATTGGTTTATTTTACAGGCGATGCTACAGCGGTGTCTCAAAGGTGAATGACAAACTGTTAAACGTCTCTTACACGATGTATAAAGTCATTCAAAATCTTATCTTAAGAAACTAAGAAACATTAACAAACAGTGCCATGGAACTGTTTACTTAGCTTCAGAGAAAAATAGGCGAGCTTTCTTACTAAACAAAGAAACATGGGTGTGGAAATTTGAACGTCAAGCTAAACGGAAAGTACACATTTGAAACGCGTGGCCCGGCCAGTTAAGCTTATAACTTAGGGATGGCATCAATTGTGTACGCCTGTAGTTTGATCTCAGTACATATAAGTGCGCCACAAAGAAGCAAATTGTACAGCTTGCTTTAGAAATGTCAGCACTTGGCTGAGAGAAAAGTGTCAATGGAGTATCAGGAAGAAATGGTATGTTTCGCGCGTTGTTTCGTATTTCTTAATAAAATACGAAAGCGGAGAGTTAATTGGAAAGTTTAGTTGGTAGAGAATACGCGATGACAAGCCAATACGAGTCGCACAGAGCCTACGTTTAGAAATGAAGATCTAAGCACTAAGACCAGTCACTAGGTTAACTGTAAAGACCACTGATGTATCGAGGGAGTGCGTAGATTCGATTTTGATGGTGTCAGAATCATGAATGTCATTGACGCTGTTAACATGAGGCCTTTCTCAGGGCTAGTGGTTTGCACAGAGGTTCATATCACGCTAAAGATGTCGTCTGTATGGACTAAAGATCGGGTATCATCAGACCATTCTTATACAAAAGCTCATGCATGGTAGCCATTCTTATACTTAATATTACTGACAAGAATCAGTTTCTTGTCACGAAAGTTTCCTTCTTCTTGTCCAGAGGTCGGCTCCAAGAATTCCTTCCACCTTTGTGACATTTTAAAATTAAGGGGCCTTTACTGTTATAATGATTATTTATTATTTGTTAATTTATTTATTCGTTTAGTTATTTCCTTGCTTATCTGTTTATTTATCTAATGTATCTATTTATTTCTTTATTCATTCATTCATTCAGAATGTTTGTATGTATGTATGCATTTATTTATTTATTTATTAACTGTGGATTTAAAGCAGTTGGTCTTCTATAATTTAAGGTGAAAGGTTTACAAGGCCTGGTTTTCTAACTAGTTTGTTGCATTTATTTCTGCCGAAACGGCAGAACATTTGAAGGGAGCTGACTGGTGACTCTCCTGTAGTTATTCACTCTTTGTTTGGAAAAATTAGGTGGAAGGGCCTACGCTCCCCAACAGCACCTACTCCGCCTTCCCTGTTTGCAGATACAAGATGTAAAGGCAAACAGGAATTCCAGTTATTTACAGTGAGAGTAATTATACACATATGCTTCATTGTTGTGTGTTCAATATTGAATAACTCGATGAAAGAAAATTGTCATGAATCCCATTTCAACCACCGCACGTTATCACATCAAAGGGATTGCGTGGACCGGCCTAGATAGAGAATACAATCTTAAAGTAGGAAAATTGATTCCTGTTTCACTTAAGATTTGAATATTAAGCCTTTTTTCAGCGATTTAAATCTTCTTGCAGATCATAGCAATACAGAACGACGATGAATGTTGAAAACCCCACTTACGTGTGGCATTTTGGAATCTGAACTATGTCAGTTGGAAGCCTGGAACTTCGAACTAATACTTGAGGATTAAACATCAATGCGGCGACAGTAATTCCACCAATTACCAATATGCATGACTCTTTTGTTGCAGGATTTATACTGCAGAAGATACAAACACTAGAAACTAGATTAAGAGTGGAAACAAAGAATTCGCACGATCATTTTGTCCAGACTTGATAAGCGAGAGTCGGTTAAATAACTGATTTTCATGACTCGCTATTCTGCATCTTCAGAGTGATCTCAAGCGGCCTATAAACCAAGGGAAATTACCTTTTCGTAAGCAAAGCCGTTGTTCGACGACTATTCTATTTACCATGAAGAAGTTATCTCCGACTCGAACCCCTTCACTGAGCGATATTCTTAAAGAGGCTGTGGGGTCGAAATTAAGCGACAGGAGAGGGGACTATAAGGTGTTGGAATTTAAACCAGTTACTCGATCGACGACCGGTGCGACAACAAGACATACTCGCCTCCATGAGGCATCCAGCGAAAATAGGAATCGCGGTTTACCCGAAGCGACAAAGGTGTTACTTCAGATACTGTTAGACCAAGAACGCTCTACACTGGCAGAATACACGGTAAACAGTGTCACTTTCAAGGTGTTTGTGGTAGAAGATACCGAACTTTAACAAGGTGACATTATGGTAGTGAGATGGAGGTTTTATAAGACCCCAATAACCTACACATGGATTCCGTCTAACGTTCGCCGAAGTGTTTAATAATTTCAAGACCAAGCACTGATTATACACCTTAACTAACAGCAGAGAACTTCGTGACGACTTAACGAAGTGACGTTAATCGGATTTTTGTTGTAAGTTTACAAAGCTGTTTGTATCGGGAAACAAAAATCATTGTTTTTATAAAGACGAAACTTAAAGGTACAATATTTTCGTTTCTCATGGTGACTTGCTTATTTATATTCAGACACATTTAAAACAACATATTGTATATGGACATAACATCGCCGTGCAAAGTGCTGCCCGGCTGTGATCATCAAATTAAATCTATATTTTGTTAATAGTTCATATCTAGTGGCAATTAAGAAATCTAAGCCAATCTCATCAGTGATTTGTGAACGTGGCTAATGTATAGCTGAGTAGCTCCATTCTATAACGAAGAGAGAAAGAACTAACTTTTTATATAAATACTCAGCAAACAAATAAAACAAATCAAGTGATTGTTTCCTATAAACAAAGCTTCCGCGGAGCTTTTGTTCATGAAGTGAAAGGAGGATTAAAGACAGGTAATAAGAGTTTATCTAGATCACGGACGGAGTGGCTGTTGTGGCGTTTAAAATCAATTCATAACATGCCAATTGATATCTTTGAGCAACAAACTTGGTGCTCCATGTTCTCTTTCGGTCAAACCCTAATATGCGCGTTATTTGATATAAGATGATGGGGAAAGAGGAATTATATCTGTAAATGAACGATTTAAAAGCGAAACACCTATCATGTACATGTAATTAAGTTTTTTTTTTATTTGTACCCTAATAAAACGTGGCAAGAGTTCTTGAGCTTAAAATGGTCTCACTGCCGTCTCTTCCGTGGGACTCAGCGCAAGAACAGATAAATCGCGTGTAAGTGAAATTTAACACATAACATATTATCTTCATTATTTGTTATTTGCAGCAAAGCACGCTTCGTTGCATGTACATGTATAAGAACGTGACCACTCGCGGAGAACCGCATACATACCGCACAATACGGTTTCCTTGAATCATGATATCACGTATCCGCAGTGAGAGGAGAGAAGTGGCATCAAGTACTTACTTTAAAATAAAGAAGAAAAAGTGAAATATTGGAAAAACTCAAGTCATTTTGTCTTTGCTGTTTTAGAGTTACAATGGTTCCTGACGGCATTGCCATCTACATCTGTACTTACAGCATAACGGAAGCCGGATATTTTGCCTCATTGAGTTGCGATACAGTGGTTCTTCACATCTGATGAGGAAGTTTAACGCAAGTTCGTGGTGATTTCAGAGGCGATTAGTTACGATTCATTGCGTTTTTCCAAATCTCGTAAAATCTGTAGCAACTAATTATAACTTGTCTACCAAAGAGTGATTTTTGGTATTTTTAACACAAAAAAAAAAAAAATCAAAATTCTAGCATACAGCTTCATAACAAGTCTAACAAGGGCGATTTCGTGGTAATATATCGCCTATAGTTTATGCGTGCGATTTGAAATCGCGCCCAATTGCTTTTATCAACAGGCCAGTGCAGCCTGAGCTTTTGACATTTTCTTGACAAGTCAGTTCCATTGGCTAGGCCAGGTTCTTTCGATCATTTTTACCATCATCATCATTTTACCAAGTCATTTATGGCTAGTCTTTCGGCGAGGAGCTAAAAAAAAAAACCGGATGCTGTTTGATCCTCCAACCATTTAAAGAAATTCGCCAGGGTTGCTCTTAAACATATGTAACAAAAAGCATTTCTTTTAAACAGGCATTCATTAATTTACTTGAAAAGGGACGGATTTGTCAGCTTCTGACGTCTCATTTTCAATATAACAACAAAATTTTACTGAACAGATGCTGAACTTAATCATCAGCTACCACGCTAAAAATAATTCTGACTTGAGAAATTTAAATTAACCAGGTTTATCGACACTTAATGTTATTCCGACCACCTTATTAAAAGAGCTGCGAAGCATTTTGTTATCCTAAATGCCAAAAGTACTTCATATACCAATTATTCTCAGAGCTGATAGAGGCCTCGTCATTATAGACTACTTGTACATAAACTCAGAATTAAAGAAAAGAAACAAATAAAAGTTCACCATAAAATGTAACCAAGTTGTAAAGAATCTGAGAAAATAATCCACCTCCCCCCCGCCCCCCGTTCCCCTTCCCCCAAAAAAGACAATATCGAATAAGCGTAAAATATAGATATGCCATTTTACATTCCCGCCTTGCGCAAACCCGTGACGTTAACGCTTGACAGCAACGAGTACTTTAGAAATCGTGTTTACTGAGTACTCTAACCGTGGCGCGAGCTGAAGAAATACGGCTATATCCAGAATCCTTCCCCTTCATTCAAGGAAAAAGAGGAATTTGTGATTTTGAGCAACAAGAATCAGGCAAAAGGCAAGGCGGCAAAAACTTAAAAAACAAAGTTAACAAAAGATTCTGTACATCACGCATCGCGAAAATCTGTCACAAACACTAACTTAGTTTTCGCTTACCATTTAGTTGCTGCATCACTCCCTCCCTAGAAATAAGGCTTGGAAGTTCTAGTTTCCTTTAACTCTGCGTTAAATTTGCGAAATTTTCCGTTTTTCCAGAACTGGATTCTGTTGTGTCATTTGGTAAACGGCCAGTGCCATGTTTTCTATCCTGTTTGTAACTGTGTCGTTGACAGATTTCTAAACAAGTAGTGGGATGTTTCTTCAAATCTGTTAAAAATCTGGTGCTTTTTGCAGTTCACCAAGACTAAAAGCGCCTTTTTCTTTTCTTCGTCGTGACGAAAAAGCCTTGTATGACCCAAAACAAAACTCGAAGCCAAGACCTTGCCTCCAAAGAGTGGTTTTCTTTAGCCGATAGGCGTATCGGGAAGATAATCTTGTAGGTTTAGTCACGCAACTCTTGTAACGCAAGCTAAGTAACGAAGAGCGATCTATGCCAGAACTATCCTATTTGTTAGTGATATTCACAAGATATTGAGGAGATGTTTAAAGCTGTTTATTATTATTATTGAATAATAATAATAATAATAAATATAAAACTTATATTGCGCATTAGAAATATTTTAATATGCGAAGTTTTCGCTGAAGTATTCACTTGTTCCAAAGGAATCATGCTTTCAAACGATAGACTTCGTGGACCGACCCGAAAGCAAGGCACTGTGACACGTCTCGATTCTTATCCTCAGTTTCCACGATCTCCGCTTGCTAGGGACGCCTGGGACCTCAACCCTCCACCCCCTTTTGGCACGCAAACTCGAAAAAAAAAACTCTTGCATTTTTAGAGTGTCGCTGCTAAAGCAAGCGAGGTTGAAAATGATTATATATGCCCTCATTGTATCGCCGCAATCTTTTAATTGGAAAAGTTTTTTAAGGTAAATTCAAGTGCTAAGTGATATTGGTTCTAAAGGTGTTTCAAATACACACCCTACGCTATACAATGTATTTTAAAAAATATTTAAGCGTTGTGATGCCCTTTTTAAAATGCTATAAGGACCGCTGCTTAATGGTGAAACCGTAAGCGTTAAGTGTTTAAACATCATGCGGTCACGGGAAAGATTTCTTGAAGATTATCGAACTTTTATGCTCTTTTCAGAATACAAAGCTCTTTCAGGAGAATAGAGAAAGTTGTCAGTAATAGCTTTATCATTGTGCCAAATTTTTAAAAAGACGCCAGCGTTGGCTAAACTAATATGTTAAATTTGATAATGGCGCACGCTAAATATGCCAAACTGAATGTGAATGGAGATGGCTTGATGACTATTAAGTACTTGTCTACCAACAGGTGTAATAATTCATCATTATAAATGGCACAATTCTTTGACTATAAGAGGTAAAGTACTAAGTAATCCTGCGCTGTGAATCCAGAGGGTTCTTCTTCTTGCCCTCCGTGTACGAGGTAAAGAATTCAAAGTCTTGTATTGTTCGTTTTTTTTTTTTTTATGTTATTTACTAGGTTTTTAAAGAATGTCTCTACTCAAAGACACTCAGACGATTTTTCTCACACTTTTATGTATGTTCTGTTTTTATATGTCATTTTTGTCCAATTGTGTTTCAAACTTCCGCAACCTGTACCTGAAAACATGCAGTTTCATCTACTTGCGCATAAGCCTAGCTAGGGCAGTAATACAGTTGCTTTGATAGACGAACTCGTATTTACGGTGTATTACTGAGTAAGTTTGGAATCCCATTTTGGAAGTAAAACGAAAACCATTAATTCATTAAACTTACTTTTGTCGATTTCACACCGAGAATTTTGCCTTCGCTAATCCCGTTTCTACTCTTTCATTTTCTTCCAACAGGTGTTTTGTAGAGATCCTAGTTATAGAAATGTTTTCAAATTACCATATAATCTTCTTCTTTTTACTTTCTTCATTGGCTTTTATGGCAAGCAATTTTCCTCACCACGGGACTCTCCTCTCCTCAAAACCATTGGGAAGGAAATCAACACTCCAAGGTGTATTATCTTATGATCGTAAATTATCTTTCGGGATAAAATGATAATAATAATAATAATAATAGTAACGAAAGAAACATTATACTCGTGAGTTAAGAATTAATAATGTCAGACAGAGTGTCACCTTAATAATTCTTTTCTGTTATGAGCAAGATATCATCATGTGACATGTGGCTTGGATATTTAAAATTTGGGGAGATATTGTTAAAATTTATCAACAGTTTAGAAAAAAACATGACGTTCGACTTAAGCAAGTCAGAGTTAATGACAAAAAGAGAGTCAAATTTGAAGAAGTTTTAAACTGAATCGCATTAGGAATTAACGAACAGCTTCTATTTACTAAAAAAGAGTTTTTTAAACGATTACAATGCGGAGCTGGTGGTAAATCAGCCAGGTTCTTAGCAGGAGTACCGTATGCTGAATACAGTGTATTGTATTTGAGGGAAAGCGAACACTCATTAAAGAAATCCAAATTTTGCCATTAAGGCTTATTGATCATTAACCGTTCCAACAGCTTAAACAGTACCTTTCATTCTCTGTTGAACGAAGCTATAGAGTGGTCCTAGATTTATATTGTGGTGTTTTTATGTTTTTCAAAAAATAATAAACGACTTTGCCCTGCTTTGACTCTTTCGGTTAAACGCACTTTTTTTAACGGACTAAAGAAAATGATTTTGAAGATATTAAGCGTCGAATTTAAGAGGGGAATTTTATTCCAAAATCGATAAAGTCCAAAATAGACTTTTCAGTGATCTTTTTTTCTTATAAATATATTCTTTTCTCCTTCTTAGACTTCGTTGGAGATTCTAGCTGTCCCGATGCAAGAGATATATCTTATTGCATGTTTGAAGTCATCTATAACAACGCCTGTGACATTCATCAAACTCCGGAGAAGGATTTTCAATTATATTGTAGAAATTACTGCTTTTCTATTTGTTACTAGAGGTAGTTTAATCAAGAAAATAATCATTTCATTGCGAACGATAACTATCCAGCTGTCCCAACATTAGCACAAGGACAATTAGCATGTACTGTGAAATGAAGTAAAAATCACCTGCAAATAAAACAAAATGCACTGACAGTAAGCCTTGGCTAATATCTCATGAATTCAGAAGATGTCCATTAAAACGTCCATGTTGTGGGTCAATTATATGTTTATATTTTAAATTTTGTTTTTCTTTGTTTGAAATGCATTATAATACATTACCGTACTCAAAACAAATAAATTAAAACTAAAGTTTAAAGCAAGGATAAAATTGATACCTAGCCCTATACTTTTAACCAGAAAAGCGAGTGCATTTGCGTGATCTGCAATGAAAAGAAAAAACGGCAATAATGTTAATTTTGATCAACCACAACTTCACCACTACAGAACGTTAAAGCTAACTTACTACCACTGCGGAAAATTATAGGAATATGAATTCAAACATGATTGCTCGTCGACAAACTTTGGCTGTCTGGTCAAACGGAATTAAAAGTGAACCTATGATGCTTACAAAATGTTTCAGTGTCGACATTATACAATTAATGTCAGATCCCAAGGGAAACAGTCAGTTTTGTTTTCCCGAGAGTCCTTATGTTTCCCTGGACGAAGTCGAGGGAAACATCAGGACTCGAGGAAAACAAAACTAACTGGTTTCCCGAGGGACTTGACATTAAGTGTTTTGTTATATTTTTAGACAGCAACAAAAGAATAACCGGAGCGAACCAAAACAGTCGACTCGGTATACAACAACAGAAATCTAATTCTCAAAACCTCGTCAAAACCACTGAAAGAATGATTTACAAAGTACTTTCCTTATATTATCTGCATCTTTTTCCTCCACTAGTTGCTGTTTCTCTTCTGGGATAACTTAAAAATCGTTGCTTTTTAGCTTGAGGCTTCATGTTTGTGAAATTGGCTGTGTTTTCCCGCCTTCTGTCACGCCACTTTCCACCATACTTTGATCACGTGCTGTAATGTATCCCGAACGGGGTACATTGCTTAATGTATCACGATCGGGATACATTTGATTTTGGTCAAGGCCACATGGCCAAGAATCAACCAATGGCAGACCCTGTTAAGTAGAGTGAAAGTCTAGGAATATAACAAAACTAGATATACAATACTAAAAACTTGAGGTTATTTTTAATCCTACTTACAGAGATACGTGTGGTGGTTACCTCATAGCTATTTTTCAACCGTCCAATCACGTTGCTTCGCCTAATGATTACCTAAGAGCGTTTGGTTTCGAGAAACCGTTCACTGCTTTATAAAAATCGAAGAAAGTGTAACAACATCGACCTATACCTAAACACAACCGAAGGTAGCATACATATACGTAAATGCGAAAAATCCTGTATTTACTCGTGCACGCTTATGTTTAGCTGTACTCAATAAATCATAATTATAATCACTGAAATGTCGTAGTTTTTGTTGTTGTCGGCGCTAGGACTTATCTCGGTTTTACGCTGGCTTTTCAAATTACTTGAAGGAACAAACAATTGTTACGGTTCCTGCGGCTTAATTTTGCTTTTGTTAGTGGGTTTACTGGGGATCTTGGTCAGGATTCCAATTCCTCATTTCATTTTTATCAGTTGATAAACTATTGCAATTTCATCACAAATCTGAAGTTTTTCATGACACCTCACTGAGTCAGAGGAAATATTACTATTGTTATTTAATGACACCGGGTGCTAAAAGTACAATATTGGAGTGGCAAGATAATAAATGAAGGCAAAAAAATTGTAAAACCGCGATTATTCAGTGCTTCCTCATTCAAAAGATTAGTTCTGCTTAAAAAGCTGCTGTGAACACCATGTGGTCCAAAGCAATTCTGTCAGAAACCGTTCTCTTCATTTTGCTTGCTTCAGTGGTGGTTATTGCGAGCAGTCTGCCTTATTACAGAACATTGCCATCTTCACGGCTTAACGCTGACAAATCAACAAAAGAAGAAGGTAGGGTGTAATTCGCCATTCTTTTTCACTTTAATTATTAAATTTAAAAAAAGGCTTGGAAGAGACAACTCAGTATTATGAACGTATTATGAACGTATTATAAACTGTAAGTTTCATTTATTCAAAACGTTGTGAATTATTAGCTTTAGCATTAGGGAATATTTTTATTTTGCTTTAATTTTTTTCGAAGTTATTAGGAAATGTGAATGTGAATATGAATTTAGTGGTTATTAGGGCTTCTAAACATAAAGTATATAGAGGCAATGTTGGGATTATGGGGACATTCTGGTTCACATTGTCTTAGACATTTTGTTACAAAATGTGGAAAATCTGAGAGTGAAGAAAAAAGATAGAGAAAGCTGCACATATTGAAACAAACGTCATAAAACTGATCATGAAAACAAGCAGGTTGAATGTTATCAGCAGAAGCAGAAGGCTAGAGGATGAATATAACACCTTCCAAGATATGCATTATAATCAGCCTTTGACTGACAGCCATGTCCTCGCCTTTTTTCCGATTATGAACGGTTAATTAACTTTTTTGAAGCTATTCCTCTTGCTATATGTCAGATTTTTGGCTACTTATTTCCTTTCTTGGTAATAGTTCATATTGAAATTTTCCGCTTAACTATGTTCTCAATATCTACAGTAACAAATGTTAATGCTATTGTTGTTGTTTTTATTGTTGCTTCTTGTTGCGATTGCTACAGTTCTCATTGTAATACAAAATCTTAAAGAAAAAGATTAGACTGTAAATAAGAAAGATCTGTTTAGCCCTAAAAATGGGGCCCTTTCAGTAAGTAAAATACAGTTCTATTTTTTATTCTTATTTGGCTCCCTTAAATCAGGGCCAATGCAATCCAAATACCTAGGGCTGATTTGGACCCAAGGGCTGAAAGGGCCCCAGCTTGGGCTGGAATAACCTTTTGATTGGGATGTTTTGGCATAAATTGTGCTCAAAGGCTCCAGGAGGGGCTAAATGAGATTTTGGCCTGACGAGCTGAATTTGTACTTTAGGGCTGAAACAGATCATTTTCATTTTCAGTGTAAATGGAAATTATTTTATGGACAAGTGACCAACATAATTTGGGATAAGTCCTGAAGAGGTGCTTTTCTATACGCCCTAAAAGTGCATATAACTGTTCCAATCAATCAACTTTCCGTTTAGGCCTTCAATTATAATAATACTAGTCCCCATACCTCTCTCTTAGGTTGTCCAGATCCAAGAGACTTGTCTTACTGCATGTTTGAAGCCTTATTTAAAGGTGCCTGTCTAGCGGAGAAGCCTGAGAAAACGTTTACATCAATATGTAGAAAATACTGCGAAACATTTTGCTAACTTGGGAAATTCTTCCTAATTTGGCATTCGAAATGGTCCAAGTTTAGGTCTTGTATTTAGCCACAATCATAACGTGTATCAAAAATTCGTGTGACAAAAATTAAATTTAAAAATCATTAATTATTCAAGTTCGATGAGATAGTCTCAAGTTATTACTTTTTTAAGCGAATGATTTGAACATGACAATGGTTGTTTATTCATCCAACGTTGAATGGCCATAAAATAAGTCCATTGACCCTTGACTTTTCCAATATTTGAGCGGGAGTCGATCCTATAACACTTCCCAACATGTGCTTACAGAGGAATTAGTGAGTCTTCATTCGCCCCTCACGATTGACAGACTGGCCCGACTAAGACAGCTCGCTCGCAAATAACTCACGCATGCATACAGCCATACCAAATTAAGGAAAATGCATGCCCTCGGGGGTAAAAAGTGTTAACTATGTCTGATTCGACACAATTATTTCTTGAAGCAAAAAAGCAAGGACATGGTTTATTAATGATTCAATGAATTTAAATGCTATTTCCCTGTCGAAACGTGTTCGATCAGCTGCTGTTAATTTTGATTATTTCATATCATTATTATGTGGTATTGGTCCATCAACAAGCAACAAGCCATCGGTCGTTTCGTTTGTGCTTTAATTAAACCTATTCCTTAACGAATATCTTTGCAGCTGGTCTGTATTGACATTATTCTCACAGAGGGGTTCTGTGATGAGTGAGCAAAAATTATTTATATTTTTTTAATTGGCTCCTTGATACGATTGACACGTACCATTTCAAAGCACTAACACGACCCGACCCCATGCATGAAGCTCACCAGCCATTTGTGGCGCATGCGCAGTGCAACTATCTTCAAACACAAGTATTGTTAATTTTGCATGACTATCTTTTCATGGAAATTGAGAAGAGCAGTATTAACTGTACGCCTCCAAAACTACCTAGAATCCAACACCAAAATCTTGCACCGCAACGAATTTATTCTTAAAATATGTCACATTTTAAAAGAGTTTAAGTAGCAAAGAACTTTCAACGACCAACTGATTAATTTTGTATTTATTTTTTAATTACATTTTTTTACCACTCGAAAAGTTAAAAAATCAAATCATCCCACTCAACATTAACCACTGAATTCATTTTTAAATAACATCTCAAACCTTCCTTGAATATAATCAGCATATAGTCGAATTGTTTTAGTTTCAAGTGGATTGTGATTCTAAATTCCAATGGAAGGTTTTTTCAAAAACCGCTTAAACTCATCCCTTCGCGATGTTTCGCAGACATTCGTTCTGTCTAATAGGTGAAAGCTCGAGTCTTAAAGGAACGTATGGATATTGCTATCTTTCAAATCAATTGAAACTAAATATTACGAATCTAATATATAATGTATTTACAGATGGTTTTTTCTCCGCTTGAACAAAATACTCCACGAATAAGGTAATTTGATTGATCCGGGCGCCTTCCCGATCCTTGTCTTTCCTTTGACAAGTTTCTGTAACCTCATTTTCATCGGTGAGGATTGGTCGCTTTTTTATAGTTTAATTATCGGTTCGATTATCAAGTGATCTGCAGTACCGTCGAAGAGAAAGGCTTCAAACAGTTCAACTTACTGTCACTGCGTAGTAAGTGTTTTAGAAAGGTAAGGAAAAGATTCTCTACTTATTGTTGTTGTTTTCTTATTATTTTCTTATTATTTTTTTGTCTTTGTGTTAACAGCCCATTGACGTAATTTGGTTACTTTTATTATAAGCTTTTGCAGTATAGCGTCATCGTCATTCGGTGAGATTGCAGGCTAAAGACACTTTCTAATTCACTAAAGCCTCGCTGATATCTCATCCAATTTTACTAATGCATTCAACGAGAAGGCGCTAAAAAATAAGCCATTGTTATTTACATTTTTTTGAAAGACACTTGATGAAACGCCAAAGGTGCTTACGACGGTCAAATGAAGGTGAATTTGAATTTCAGTTGAACTGAGTAAAAAAGAATTGATAACTTAAGTTATATTAGGTGTTAATTCGTCCGTTCGCATGATAAACCAGCATCTATTGTAGTTGGTGTTGATCTATGAAGTAAGAAACGACGATTAGCCCTTTCAACGGGAAACAAAGGACGAAATAAAGATATGAGTTCAACAGATCTAATATTTTTTCCTTCTCTTTAATCAGAACGTTAAAAATTTCATCGCAGCAATGGATCTCACAAATATAATCAACCTTCTGATTCTTGTCCTTCTCACTGCATTTGCCACAATGGTAACTTCCGAAGTTTATTCCGACGATGTTGATCTAGAACAGTTTTCCGAACTGTTTAGTAAAAGAGATGCTGTTGAGGGTGAGTGTAATACAAACATTAAACACTTAATGACTGGTCCCATGCCAAGGGAAACAGTCCGTTTTTTTTTTTTTTCACGAGAATCTTAATGTTTCCAGAGGCAGAGCTAAGGAAAACATTGAGATTCGAGGGAAACAAAATGAACTGTTCCCAGAGGGACCAGTCTTTAAGTGATTTGTTATATAGCTAGCAATTTTGAAGCTGGAAAATCATTACTGAAACCTCGCTGTAACGGCGGTCGTCAGTCAACATTCGCGGGTAACAGTGCACTGTTACCCTCTCACGTCCTAGATTTTGCAATACTTCACGCTCAGAGATTTTGGCGGGAAACAGTTCCATTGTTAGATTTTATGTGACCTCGAAGTAACCAATGAGAGCGCGCGCTGTTGGGAAAAAAGTTTCCAACCATATAACAATTATGATTATGACTGACCCGGTTGATATTCGTTCAAATATGCACGTTGGAATAATCAGAGGTTATGGCTACAAGAAACCAAGAGAGAGAATACAGGACCTTTATCATCTCTAGAAAAAACGTCTTATGTCAGCACATGAGATGGTAAAATGATCAGCCAGTTTAGCCCCCGTATTGACCCTATCCCCATCGTGTTCTCTCTCCTCCAAAAACTACGTTTACAACAATTTATCAGTCATAGCAAAAGGAACCGAATTTAGCCGGATGTTTTGCAGACAAATAACTTAAAGTAACCTGATGCAACAGAGTATAGAAATAAACGCTCATTTGATTTTCATGAATTTGTTTTCTGCTCTCATTTGGACAGATGTGTTTTCAATGTTGAATGACGGCAATAGGCAAAGTTGTGAGAACTTGAAGCCTCGAAGCTGGTGTCAGATACGTAGAATATTTTTGAGCTGCAAGACTAAACGCTTCAGAAAGAACTGCAAAGCAATGTGCAACCGAAAATGCCGTAAGTTGAAAATTTTTATTGAGCTTTCCATCATGTTATTGTCCACTTCAGTCCACTGTGTGCACGGAAAGACATGTAAAGGGTTTTGTATAATGATATTTGACATTACTTTAAAACAATAGAAAACACCCTTTCATCGAAGAAAACACTAGTAATGGCCTAATTTTGTTTGAAATTACTTTTAATTACTATTCTATGTAAGCCTTGAGTGTGTGTGTGTGTCTTTTAGCTTTCAGTATCCTCCCCTAAGCATTTTAAAAGATCTATTGTGCTCGAATTGCCCGGGGTACTCCCTATAATGGCCTAAACAGAGAAGCCTCACCCAAAAGGGGTTCCCCTTTTTTCAGGCTCCATGTATATGAAAGAGAAGGGATTTCATTAACTGAGGTATATGAATCGAAAGGGCAGGGAAATCTGTCGTTTTGGTCTGTAAAAGGACCAAAGGGGCCCAACACACGCATTTTATAGAAGTGAAAGATTCATTTAAAAAAAGACGATACATTGACAGCAGTTAAAAGGATGCAGTGTTCTAAACTAGTTACTTGAAAGGGGTACCATTTTTCATCCAGTAGAAGGTATACGAACGGGGTACCTTTTATTCAAAAATGGTTTATAAAAATGTAAGCACTTTAATAGGCCTCGGGGAGGAGCCTCCCTGTATAAAAGTTCGTTGAGTACCCCCTCTCCACGGTCAAATTGGCGTTATTCTCTTGTATTTTACCTTTTTTTCAGAGCGTTGCCATAGCTTATATGATTATACCACAATAACTTTGTGTATTATTTTCATTGTAGGTGGCTAATCATAAGAAGAATGTGAGACATAGAACTGTTTGAAAATTGTGAAAGCTGCTAAATAACGAGAAAGAGGAAAGTGTTAATTAAAACGCGCAATAAAAATGATAAGCTGGTGACTCCTGGCTGCTTCGTATGTTACAACAGTATTTTAATGCGACTATAAATGGGTTGACCATCTTTAAAACTTATCTGATAATGCTTGCTCCCGTAATTACCTATATCATCCTAACCCAGCGGAATGAGCACAACTGGCTCATGAACTTCGGGTTTTAAGGCGCCTTTTCATAAGCAGAAAGAGTAACGCGCCGAAAAGTTAAACCAGGGGTCCAAGAATTATGGCATGGCAAAACACCAGAGTTTCATATCACCTCTCCGCTGGAGAGCCCTAACGCAGGCTCAAGGGAAGGAAAGAAAAGGAATGGTGGTTCAGGAACGAAGCAGATCAAAGAAGCAGATCTTACTTACCTTGAAAAGTGGGCGGAAGTCCGATTGTTTTAAGTGGGTCTACATCAATCAGATTGGCAGTTCAGCCTAACCCAGACAGTTCAAAACAGTTAATTTTACGCTGTTACAATTCTACCTTTATTTAACGCTGATCATCAAAATTTTACACCATAATTCTTTCACCTAGACATCCAATACTCATATGAAAAACATGAAAATAAAAATAGCTCGCCGGATGAAGAGTTTGTGTTGCCTAAAAATATGCAAAGTGTAAATGAGTTATGCATTAGTTGTTCAAAACATCGCGCGCATTACCATAGCCAGAGCGACTGCTACAAACAGGTACCCAGTCCTTCCGGTCTGCAGAGTAACGTCATTAGCACTGTTCTTCGTCATCAAACATTGATCTACCGGTTTATACGGAGATGTAATGCTTGGCTTCTTAGCCTTGTCGACACCCTGCAGGCAAAGAACAAACAAAAGTCAAGGACAAAGACAAACCGGAGGACGGACAGGGAGCAGTATACAAGATCAAATGCTCCGACTGCCAGGCCTCTCACATTGGTGAAACCGGCAGAAACCTTAGTACGCGACTGACTGAACACAAACGAGCGGCGAGAAATGATGGCATCAACAATCACATTGCCGAGCACCATTTACAGACGAAACATCAAATCGACTGGGACTCTGCGACATGTTTTACGTGTTCTACTATTAACGACTCACTTTAGAAAGCTGGTTTACTAACTCAGAAAAAACGCCACTGATTCGCAGTCAACAGTTACCGGCACCGTACAAACGACTCATTGACGGACTCAAGCAAAACTGACTACGAGAGAATGACTGGACAACCGAAAATTTGACTAACGAAAAACGACACTTTTAACTGTGACAATAGACGGATCAAAACGCACCAACGAGATCTTTATAGCCAATAACATCACGGCTTAACTGACAGACGACCGATAACCCATAATCATGGTAATCCAATCAGATATGTATATGTATATCTGTCTGATTTCGTTAAAACGTGGCCACTGGGTTTTCGCCTGGCGCCGGGCGCAGCCCGGCTCCGGGCCAGTCCGGTGCCCAAAAATGTAGGGGGCTTGACGTCTTGATCGGGAAAGCTGGATAGCCCAGAGACTGCCCTAAATGTGGGTGGATCAGGCCTTGGGGTCAAAACTAGTGGGGTAGGGAGGGGGCTGTTTTGACACATTCCCTTCAGTAAGCAACCGTGTTCAGTGCAGGCTTTGACTGGCGAGTACCTTGGTCTTACTTTGCCCTAGCCAGCTGAATCAGGCCTCTGCTGAGAATGATTATCATGATAATTGCGGAGCTCAGTGGGAGGTTCAGACAGTCACCCATTGTCCTGGGTGGGGAGGGTCAAAGTCTTGGCACCAAGGACGCTCTTAGTATAGGACCCTTAGACACTCACTGAAGCCATGTTTTCATAAATTCAGTCAGATATATGTATGGAGATAAAATACACAGAAAGCTTGAATTGTCTTGAATGAAAATGTTAACGTGACCGCCAAAACGAGCAAGGTTCGCAACATTCGCTATAAGTAATTACTGCAGCAATATAAATGAAGCAAAATCAAAATACGATTGCCGCGATTGATCATAAACGTGCCAATTCGTGACCATCCTTGACTTTTTCATCAGTCGTTGAAAAACACTGGCCATTGTCGAGAGGTTATTTTGGCCGTTGGGGACATGCGTTAGTGGCCGTTGCCGTTGTAGAGAGGTGGCCGTTGTGCAGAGGTTTAAGTAAGAGTAAATATGAAAACTGTCCGTCGGGACAAAATAAAACGGCCGTTGTAGAGAGGTGGCCGTCCTCTACAAACTGAAGTGAAATTAGGATATTTCTTAGTCGTGCATGACGGTAAAGAAATGCACCAAAAAGCGTGATACACGTGCAAAGTTGCCGTTTTATTTATCTAAATCTATTGCCCTCTGACGTTATCGTTGCTGTCGCCGCCCTGGTTGCGTGACCTAAGCTCCCTATCAATGTCTTAACCTTTCTTTTTCTTTTGAAATCTAAATGCAGTCCTTCTTAATTCCAATTACAGGATACTGTTATTATATTTGGCATCTGGCGAATGACGACAAAAGTTTGAACGAACACGAATTCTCATTTTAACTTTATTTTCACTGTGGTTGATGTAAACATAAAATTGTCTCTCTGCAAAAGGAAACTCGGGGAGAGAGCCTAGACGAGTAACACTCTCGAAATACGAATCAGTCGCTTTCTGGTTTTAAGAAAAGGATCTTAGATATTTACATTCGCCGTACTCTGTCTTATGTCCTTCGAACCAGTCGGGTATAGGGTGATACTTTTGTGTCTGTTCATGGGGAGAGGGGCAATGGGTGGTTAAGGTTGGGGGGAAGGGAGGGGGGGGTTGGTCTGTTATTTATGGTCTTCTATTTGGTTATTGGGGCAAGATATCAACTAAGACGTTGTCCTATCTCTTGCTCCGGTTGCAATGTTTATCTATTTTATTTTACTTTGTTTTTTCTAGTAACGTGTTTTATATTTTTATGCACATATTAACTGTCTGATAACATGCAACGAATTCAAAAAGAAAGAAAGAAAAGAAATTGAGGAGCTTGTTAGCAGTCTGACTGTATTTTAGTTACACTCACAAACCTGTATGTTTCGGGCACCAGTGGCCTTGCAACTCACATCAAGTTCAAGATCCGCGTCATAAGCTGCTCGCAGATCTTGTGTCATTTCACTGGTCCATATTTTTGGCTGGAAAGGGATCCGATGTGTTCCATTCCTGTGGTAAGGGAAAGGAAGCAACTTAATAAAAAAACATTTAGTTTATTTAGCAACGCTCCTTAAACAGCTGGTGTATGGGATTTTATTGAAGTTGGATTCTTACCCCCATCAGCGCGCGTTTTTATTGGTTACTTTGAGGTAGCGTGACATCTAACAATAAAACTGCTGTCCGCGAGAACTGTCGAAGCGAGCAACACTTTAAGATCTGTGACATCAGAGGGTAACGTTGACCGCGAATGCAAACCACTCGCTGAGATTTGCTTCGATAAATTTGAAGAAATTTTTTTTTTTCTTCATGGGCTGTCTAACAAAGTACTTAATGAATAGGCTCAACAAACCGGTGCTATAGTTACGAGGATATACGAGCAATTGGCCTAAGCCCGAGAAAGGGAGTTTCATTGGACTGAAACTGAGAAATTAAAAGGGCAGTCAAAACTTTAGACGTTTTACGCCGCCGTTATTACCTTCTATGGTACCTGAATTAAAGACCAAAAAGGGGGTTTGTGCGAACAATAAAAATGCCGGACGCCTTCTTCTTTTCGTTGTCTTTGAGAAAAATGTATCTCTTACCGTGCATATTTGGAAAACAGTTCCGTTGCGGCAGCTCGAGCAAAAATGGCACATTTCGTAAAATTAGCGCTTGGGTAGTACATCAGAAAAGCAACGCACATCTCGTCCGTCGTCTGAAAACCTCCCTAAAGAATAATCAGTTAGAACGTAATTAGTTGTGTTGGCTAACTTATTTGCTGGCGGAGTTAATGAAAAGCAAAACACCTTGCTTTGGGCAAAGCTTTGTGCTGTTGGTACTTATCACTGTCGACAAAAGGTTGTATTTTTTAGGTTTCTACATTCTGCATTGATTGGTTTGATGACTGGTGGAGGTTGTCTAGGTCTAATGAAGACAAACTGTGACGACTAGCCTGCTACTCAAAAAGCACAAGAAACGTCATTATCATTCGATGCGAATTTTTCTTCCTTTTCATTAGTCGAGAGCCCACAAAGTGACCAGCAAATACGATATTTTGCTCAACCTCGTCCAATAACTGTTAATTCATTTTGTAAGTTATTGCATGTGATCTGTTTTTTTTAACAGCATCAATCAGTGATCATGATGTTTTTTACTCTAAGGCTTTGTCGTCTTGAGACTGAGGATCAGTGTCAAGACTTTACGCAAGTGAGTGTAGTCTCTTAAGTTCCTTACATACTTTTTGATTTGAAACTTACGAAAGTCAAGCGATCTCTGTCCGACGAATCGTAAGTGCACGTAACCATGAATTCATCACCCTAGGAATAGAACACGAGAGATTAGGAAAAGATATATGCAACTCAGCCTTTTAGCGATCCCTGCATTCTTATTCTTATCGAAATGCTTTTGTTCATTTTGCTTGCCTGAGAAAACCACTCGGGGACACATCTAGCTGTGTTAAACAGGTTCAAAGATACCTTAAAGTCTTTTATTAGTACCTTTGCGGTTTCCCTATGAACTTTTGAGGATTGCTACCGTTCCTTTTCTTATTTGTCTGTCCCCTTTGATATTTTATGTGTTGAGGCTCCTGTATTTCTTAATTATAAGTTGAAATAGTCAAATCAGTAATTTGTCACTTACCGGAAAAACCTCTACCTCTTCTTTCAGCATCTGATATTCCTAAAATTTAAAGAGGAAGCCATGAGATCAATACCATAACCTAAAATGTAACGCGGGTTCAACCATTCTTTTTATCTCGACCATCTTCAATAGCTTGAATATAGCCGCACCCTCACCTCCCTCCTACCGCATTTCTTTCTCAGGGGGAGGGTGCGGCTACACCGGTGAAGGCTATGACGATAATTAACTGAGCCAATTTTTCTTTTCCTATTTTTTTTTTCCACAACCACAAAGCACATACTTGGAAGTTGAAGTCGTAATGGTTGTCATAAACAATTTGCTTGAGCTCTTTTCCATTCCTAAGATGATGGACTCGTACCTTTCTACCTAAAATAAAAACACATTTTATGCATACAGATTATTCATAGTCAGCGGGCACGACGAAAGTGCAACAACATTTATTGATATCAACCCAGTTCCATTATTTACTTGGAATATCAATATAAAAAGATTAAAATGACGTTACGTCGTCACTTGCTGATACAAAAAAGCAAGTGTATCAAGTAGCTCGTTCAATGAAAGGACCATCAATAAGTCTTACAAGCGGTCCTTTGAGAGAAAAACATTTCTAGAGAGAGATTTAGAGAGATGGTTTATTTCTGGATTCACATGTATGCACGTTCACACATTGATTAAACTCTTAAACTTGATTTTCATACAGATTTTACCAGGAGCCCTAATATTACCTGCTAAATGTGTATGAAGCAAGGCTGCGAAAATTTTAATTTTATGTCCTGGCAGTGCAGACTTTTTCAGGCCCTAAAACATCGAAAATCAAGTTGTTAATCTGACATATTGATGATTATCGACGACCAGACCTACGATACTCAAGTACTGCTCACGTGAATTCGCGCGTGATACCGCATATCTTAATAACATACTGGCCACAGTTTTTCAATAGCTGGATAGCACCATTCAATATATATATAATTTATATATATAACAATTATTCACCGAAGTGGAGGTGGCTAGTCTTGGATATTTACCGAACTGCGAAGCACTGAGGTAAATATCCACGACTAGCCACCGACACTGAGGTGAATAGTTGTTTTACTATATACTAAAACAGTGAGATAATTGAGCACAAAAATGATGATTTTTAACTCAAATACTGTTGCCAACGATTATAATTTTGGCGCGTAATGACCGGGCAACCGCGGCTGTCGCTCTTTCTTGCCGACAATTAAAACTTTTGGAGGCATTTGTTTAGCTCTTGCAGGGAAATTTCTTCAAAAGGAGTTGTGAATTCTTGTATAAAAAAAAGATTATTAAATTTCGTTTTAAGTTTATTTATGAACAAGTCAACTAAATAAAGTAACGCAAGACTTAAACTTAATTAACATTTGTGAACAAAAAATTTTTTCACCGGTTTTATCGATAAATTCGTGTCAAAAAGACAAAGCTTTACCTGTTAAAACTTCCAATCAGAACTTCGTTACCTTCTTCGTGTATTTCGGAAACAGCTTGCTTGATTAGTTGTGAAATTTCTTTGTTTGTTTACGGCAGCAAACCGGGAAGGCAGTTTGCTCGCAACTTACGCGAGTTTGGCGTCGCTCGCTCGGAGGAACTGGAGGTGAATCAGTGAATAGTGCAGGATATTCACTGATTGAGTAGCCAATCAGAGCGCGCGAAAAACACTATCCACTGTTTTAGTATATACTAAATATAACTACCCAGGGGATAATCATCACGGAAACCAATTGCGCTATTTAATGGATAGAGATTTATCCATTGACTATTTTCCAATTCCCCATAATACACTCTGTTTGCCCCCCAAATTTTGCATAAACCATTGTTTTTAAATGCTCTTGGGAAAATGCAATACTCCCAGGAGCATTTAAAAACAATGGTTTATGCAAAATTTGGGGGGCAAACAGAGTGTATTATGGGGAATTGGAAAATAGAGAATTGGATAGCCGGAGTGGACCGAGCGTAATATCCACCTTTTGAACAACTGGGACCACTGGGGCAATAACATATACAAAATATGAAATAATGTATGTGATTATGATGAATGGTGAATCATCATTATCCTTATCACCCAGTCATTATCTCGTTATCGTTATCATTATAAGAATTAGTTTTATGAGTATTATTACTACTGCTACTACTACTACTACTACTACTACTACTACTACTACTACTACTACTACCACCACCACCACCACCACCACCACCACCACCACCACCACCACTACTACTACTACTACTACTACTACTACTACTACTACTACTATTACTACTGCTGCTGCTGCTGCTGCTGCTACTACTACTACTACCACTACTACCACCACTCTTGTAATCTTGTATCTAAAATGCATGGATTATATCATCAAATTAAGTGTACAGAGTTCGCAAAGAATAAGTCACCAACTTGCTATTTCTCTTTCAGCAATGGCTGTTTTCTTTGTTTGTTTGTTTGTTTGTTTGTTTGGTGGTTCTCGTTTTAGATGCACTCATAATTAAACGTTGAATTTTTCCAGTAAACTAACCTTCTTTGTGCAGGCTGATGGACAGGACCCTGTGATTTTCCACTCTTTCTGTTTTGGTGGTATCATCATAAAATATGAGACATCCCAGCCGCTGAATATTACGGCTGAATCATACATCCGAGTTTGCTCCGTGTACCAGAAACGAAGTCCTGAACTGTCCACGAAGTCTAAAGTTTAGAAGAAACAAAAACAAAAAAAAAAGACCAACACTTGCTGTCTGTCTAAGAGAAGAATTCGTTGAAAGTAGAACAAAATGACTGTATGAAGAACGTCCGCGGGGCAACAACTGTAGCTGTCCTTTTTAGGGAAGTGCCAGTGACAGTTGAGTGAAATCGTTTTTATCATACTGATGTTTGTGAAATACTAAAAGGCAAGGTTAATGAATTACCAATCATCTGCTATCAAGTGTATTATTACTACTGCTACTACTACTACTACTACTACTACTACCATCGTTTCACGGCCAATACACAATTTTCCATTGAACCTAATTGATTTAATGCTACTAATGAATCGGCTCAAGTACAGCTACTCTTATTGTACTCTGCCCAGCCTCGGAAATTTTTGCAATCGTGTTTATGGTTAAAGGGGCTCTCACCAGTTCTTTGAACAGGGTTATCGTAATGTGTTTCCATGACAACATATCTTGGTGTATCATCTGTGCCGATTTTCAGCCCCACATGTTCAGGGTAGTAGAAACTCTGTAAAACCAAATTTGATGATTACGTGTTAATGATTTAAGGATATCTTGGTGTCTTCCAATTACGACTCAAATGCTAACAATTCTGAGTCCAATTTCTCATGGTTGTAGACTGCCAGTGAGTTAGTGTCTACTCATGTGTGACGAAATAAAATTAGCGTGCAAAGCTTTAAATCTATCTGTATAATTAAATGGTTGATGATTGCCGTAATATATATCGCAATGTAGTAATATCGACTCGCCTCTTTGATGGTGATGGTGATGATGATGATGATGATGATGATGATGATGATGATGATGATGATGACGATAATAGAGCTGGGGATGATGATGTTTTTTTTTGGTATACAATTCTTACCCCTCCTCCTATGGCCCAAGCAGCCACAGTTGACTGACCAGCACACCTCATGATCGCCTCTGGGGTTGATCTGTCATAGCAGTGTCCAGAGTGATTTAGAAAGGCTGTAGGGAAGTCATAGGAACATTCGTACACCAAAATATGGTGAACCAGTCCTTCATGACCTTTCTGAACAACAGGCTCTACCTAAAAAAATAATTTACCAAGTAAAGTATTAAAAGTAAATTAATAATGCACCCTTGTGTTTTTCGACTACTTTAAAAATATAGCCCTTTACCGCATTTTGTAGAACAGAAGCACGCATGAAGTTTTCCTAACCATGGCGCAACCGGCCACGTTTCTTTGCGTTTGGTCACTGGAGTGGAATGAGGAAAAGGTAAAAAGCGTTTACTCCAAGAGACTGTTGCAAAAATGTTCGTTAAAATTCCTTAACCGTTTCCCTTTTCTAGTCCTAAAGGTCGAAAATGTAGAAAATTCAGACAACAACGAAAGAAAAACTTTACGCTCCAAGTAAACATGAGAAATTGGCGCGAACATTGCACTGGTTTCTCAGTTTTGATTGGCTGCTTACATCGTACGATTGTTTCATTCTCATTTTTCACTGGTTTATCTCAGTGGGCTTTTAGCCCGCAAAATGGGCCACCATTCCCAACAAAGTGATAGTAATAAATACTAAATGCGAATATTGCTAACAAGGCTAGAAAGTTTCATCGAGTTAAAATGGTCATATCTTAAGATGAGGTCTATGGACAATGGTGATGGTAGGGCTACTTTGAATCCTTTAACACTGTACGAAAAAAATGGATTTTAGAATAACTGAGCGATTTCTCGCACGCTGATTGGTCGAGAGCTATGGTGGATTAGAGTGCAGAGATGGTGGCGCAATTTGTTTACACGCGATTTTTTAGAGAAACGTCAACGGAAATGGACGTCAGAAACTGTTAATGTTCTTGTAAAAACAAATCGACAACAATTTCCATGGTCTGTACTCTTTATCGACCACAGAAATGACGTCAAAACGCTCCACACGTTGCAGTGAAACCACTCACCTGTGGCTCGTGGTTCCACTTTAGTCTTAAACAATTTCACGTCATTTCTATGGTCGATAAGAAAACAGATCATAGGAATTGCTGATTTGTTGATTTGCACAAATTTTCTCATGGTAAATATGTTTCAAAAATGCAAAAACTGAGGAGTAAATCTGGGGCAAATATGGTAAATGCGAATTTGCCCCAGATTTACTCTCCAGTTTTTGAATTGTTGCCACGTATTGCTAAGAGCATATTTGTGCAAATTCATTTTTTTTGTCCAGTGTAAGTTAACTGGAGTCAAATTTGTTTGCACATGGAACTTGTTATCACGCCACTAAATAAGGAATACGAGATGGAGAAGATAAAGGCAAATACCTTGATTACATGATGTGCTTTTTCCATCCTGGGGATTTCAAAAACGTTGCACCAGTACACTGTTTTGTTTCCTGGAACTTTGGTCTAATGATAAAAAACAGCCTTTCTGTGTTTTCACAACTATAAATAGTTATTCGCTTAAAAGGCACCATTTCAATTTATTCTTTACTCTCTCTACTCTTTAAGCCCCAATATATCTATTTATAAATTCTCCATCCTGATCTTCATACGTTTCTTTAAAGAATAAGTTGAGAGCGCCTGATAACAGATCAATGCATTTTCCCTTTAGCAAGAGACTATAAAGGGGACAGAGAGGCCATCCCCCATATATACCCTATTCCATAGGTAATTCGTCTCGAGTTATTTTTAACGCCACAGATCTCAAGGGGGATTAGACAACAGCCAATCACATAGCGGGAATGTGTTCCGCGTGGATGACCCACGCTGAGAGCCACGCGTCCTTCACGAAATGACGCAGAACAAAATGGGGGAAGACGGGGAGAGCGATTTTGCTATTCCTTTTGTCGACGAAAACGACTACAGCGAGATTTCTGCGAAAGCTGTGTCAGCGAAACCGAAATTAAAAAAGAATCGCCCTTCCTCTCTTGTATAGAGCTAACAGTAGAGCAGGGAAATCCTTAACACACTGAATATTCTCTCAGGATCATTTATAATTTACAGTTTGAAGAGAGCAATTTCTGGTTTGATGTTTATTTTTTTCAGTCTTTATAGCGATTATTCCTACCCACTTACTTTGTCAATTGTAGGCGAACCCTCCTAAAGCTGAATTTCAAGGGACCATATTCAAGCTCAGAAAGAGAAATAAAATTTCGTCGTTGCTTATTTACGTCCTCCATAAAACGCGAAATTAGGCATTTTCACGTCGTAGTCGTGCAAAAACGGGAAAGAAATGAACAAAAAAGTGTGTTGCACGTGCGAAGTTGTTGTTTTGCTAATTAAACCTATTGTTTTTTTGACGTTCTAGTTGTCGTCCGCGTCGTTGGATCTTAAACTCCCTAAATTGTACAAACGACCGGTTTCAATAGACCGGCGAAATTTCTCATTTTATTAAAGCACTGAGGTTACGACAACTTCGAGTTAAACTGATTTCACGGGTTGTCAAAGAGTCCAGCGATTCCTTTTTCCCAGGTGAGCGCCGACTCATTTCGCTTCAATATTCAGGAATGCTCTCGATCTTTTTACGCTTTCATTGCCTCTCGCCCGACATGTTTTGCACGGCGTTTGGTCATGCGAAACCTCCACGAAACATCCACGCCTCGCGCGAGGTAACTTTATCCCGATTCTAAAAATAACTCGAGACGAATTACCTATGGAATAGGGTGTATATGGGGGATGGCCTCTCTGTCCCCTTTATAGTCTCTTGCCCTTTAGTGATCATTTTATTAACTCTCAGAACCATTTCTCTTGGCAACATATGGATATTGTTAGGAGAAAATTGATGTTGGTCACTATTGGGACTTACTTAGGGTTAAGCTGAAAGCGGGTCTAAGACAACCTTGTTCCCAGGGGCTTCTCGGCTGTCTTATTAGACAACGAGAATACCCTGGGAACGAGGATGAGTCCATTACGAAGGGCGCAATACTACATGAAGCTATCGTTTTCTGCCCTTTGGGTATAGCTGTGCACTGCTTTACATTAATAGACAAGACTGATTTTAAAAGTTACAAAAAGCGGTTATTCAGGATCTACACGACTCATACTTTATGAATAAATGAATAAATAAGAGTGAAGACAGAAAAGAGTATCTTTTATATATCTGATATGCTGTAATTCTTGCATGGTTCTGTCCATGTTTTAGAGGTTGGTTTTGGCCTACCCTTTATTTTTTCCAACTTGACACTTGGACTCTTGCCCCCCAGAAGACACGTGGTATGGCGTGATTCTGTGGGTGTTGAGAGTTCTAGGTCAGGGCTTAAATCAGGGTGCGCGGATATTTTTCATCATAGCTTTCTCTGGTTGTTGCGCCATACTGACGAGCCCCAAAAAGGGCGAAACAGCTGTCTATGGCTACAATCCCGCTCTGTTTTGATTTCTTTCCGGGTGTAGTGTTGATGTCTTCCAGAGTTAATTTTCACGTAGTACGATCAGCATTAATTGCATTATTCTGCTTGCAGAGTTTAATATGTCTACAGAAAAGAGTATTATTAGCTCTTACCTTATTGTTAAGTATATCAAGGTACTTTATGTTTGGAGGTAGTTTAGGTGTTTTGCCTCCAGTGTTCAGTAACATCACGCTTCGGGACCCTTTATACGTATGCTTTAGAAAAGCACCTGATGACGTCGGGTCTGCGTCATTGTAAGCAAAAATGACCTTGGATGTTCCCTCCTAAAGAGTAAAAAGACAAGTTTAGCATTTTTTCAAACAGTTTGAGAAACTGACAGAGGTCCTCTTCACGTTGGATCCTTGTGGTTGATACTAAGAAGCCGTACCTCAATTTTGTTGTCCTTGTCGTCGCAGGTATCAAATTTGCGTTCAAACTTCACGGTTGTTTTGCCGCCAGTTTCTGTCAGGGAAATAAGCTTGTAATCCTGAGACGAGTCTAATTCCGGAGTGCTGTAAGAAGACGCAAATCGGTCCTATTGAAAAAAAGAAAAGAAAAGAAAAAGAAAGAAAAACATACAATGTTGGAGTTTTCGATCTACGGATAGAAATGGGATGATTTAGTTAAAATATCGATAGCTGGCCAATGCTTAGAGCAAGTATCCAAAATTAAATACTTAGGTAACTATATGACACCCACCTATCCTGGCATGACCATATCGACTATGTTTGTGATAATGTCAGTAAGAGTATTAATATTATGACAAAGATAAACAGTTATCTAGGAAATTAATGTTTAACTAGTATTTACTATTCTCTTGATTACCCATACATCTCATATATGGTTGCTTATTGTGGGGAAATAATTATGATAATCTATTATCACAGCTCATACGTCTACAAAATAAAGCAGTTAGAATAATCAATGACGTTCCTTTACAAGATCATATCACTCCTCATTATGTTCCTCTAGGTTTATTAAAATTTCGTGATATTGTTAAAATTTACAATTGTTTGTTTTTATATGATTATGCCTCTGATAATAAGCCGTGTAATTTTCCATTATTTCTTGTATCTGAGCAACATAATTATTTTACACGAAGTGCATCTGCTCAGCAATTACCTAATTACACATTCCCCATTCAAGAATTAATATTCGAAAAATTTGCCCTGCCGTTATTGGAAAATACTATTGGAACGATCTCCCCCTTTCTATTCGCAATAAATCATCGCAATTTCGAAAAGGACCTTAAAAATATTATCTTGCTCAATATTGACTTGAGTGCGTGTGTGTGCGTGCGTGCGTGTTTGTGTTTTAATGAATAACAAAGCTACATTAGGATAAAGTCAATCTCGTTAAAGGGCCATAATTAGTGTTCTATAATGTGCCCTTCTCCATTCTAACTTTCCTTTTTTTATTATGTACACGTAGTTTAATCAACCTTGTACTAAGTGATATTGTACAACTAAGATATTATCTATAGGACGGAGTAAAAATAAAATAGAAATACAAATATTTAGTTACACACGATATCTCTATTGACTCATATTGAACCACTCCACTCATTTATTAGGGGTTCATTCATGAATTCTGTATCAGGTTTAAATACGGTTTCATCCCTTCTGTGTGTTCTCGGTCATTGGTCGCTTGTTGCGTCGTTTGGTCGTGTTTGTAGTAACGGTATCTCTTCTTTACCTGACTGAACGCCAAGCTCACGTGTGCGAGTCATTATTGCATAACACTTTCCGGGAAATGATATATTGATACTGAATAATTTGTAATGGCAGGTCTAAAACTGACCAAAAATCACCTTGAAACGGCCTAAAATACCAATAATGCATAATATACATATAACGAGGAAACAAGTAGTCTGAAATGTCAGCTGTCCTCCCCTCTAACCCGTGGAGACAATGTCAACAATTCTGATGTATTCTTTAGTTACTCTTTGTCATCCAACAACGATTTTCACTTGTGAACTTGGGCTACCTGTGGTGAACCACAAGCTACCAAGAGATAAACCCGAAGTTTGCGTCTGTACCGGAACCTCCAAGGGATCCTACATTGTTGAGGTCTTAGGAGCTTGTATTTCTGGCAAGGAATAAGTGAAAAGCGGGCTCGCAAGTCCTACATATCCTACCGTAAAATATTGATTTCCATCATCTGTAACTCCTCCAATTACGATGTCCGCTCCTATCATTTGCCCTCGGCCGCTTGAAATCCCAAAACCAACCCATCCAGTAGTTTGTGCTTCCACTGCAAAGGAAATTGATCTAGCCTTCCAGTCCACACTCCAGTACAATGTTACTTTCTGAGCTTCGTCCAAAGCGGCTGAGTTCGTAAACTCTGAGGAAAGATCTTTCTTTGCATTCGCCGCGTGGAAAGATTCTAAACAAGCGTAAAGCAGGATAACAAAGTAGAACTTCATGTTGATGACTGTTATCGTTGAGATGTGGTTCTGAAAGTGTATCTATTAGAGTGAATCTACACGCCTTTTGAGAGTTATCAATTTAATGAACGCTTTTTATTCTTATTTACGATGCAATTTATAATTCATTCATAAC